CTGGGGTGCTCCCCTTCCATTCCCCCAGATCAAGACGAAGGGAGGATGCGGACAAATCCAGAAAAGAAGAATCTGTAGTGGCAAAAACAATACAGTCGAGCATGATGGGAGAGGACACGCGAGAGGACACAAAACACCCTTCCAAGGGCCACGTTACCATGGGAATGTAGAAGGCATGGATCGCTAACCAGGTCCTCTGCCCAATCCCAGGAGCCTCAGTCCTCATGCCAGAGGAGTCGTTGGCGGGGCTTCCCGAAATTTTGCAGAGCTTCCCGCGATCCCCCTGGCCTCCCAGAAGTGAGCCCGCATGACTTGTTCTGGCCCAAGAAGGCCCCAAGACAGGCCCAGAGGACCCCAAGCAGCCTCCAACACGGTCCAAGAGGGCCCCGAGATGCCTAAAGATCGGCCCAGGACGCCAAAGATGGCCTCACAACAAGCAGCCCACGAGGCCTCCAAGACTCCCCGATAGGCCTCCAAGCGGTCTCCCAAGATGGCCCCAAGAGGTACACAGCTCGGTGATTTCCCTTTCTGCTGTTTGACGGATTGTGGCGTCCGCGCCCTTCCGGCTCTCCGACGCTCCAGGACGACCCAAGAGGCCCCCAGGCCTGCTCCACAACGGCCCCGAAGGCCCCCAAGAGGGCCCCAAGACGGCCCAAGAGCGCCCCAAGATAGCCCAAGAGCCGCCCAAAACGGCCCAAGGCGGCCCAACACGGCCCCAAAAATAGCCCACGAGAGGGACAGCGAACCGACAACCCGGCCCCAAGGCCCCCAAGAGGCCCGAAGAGGCCCCTAGAGGCCCCACAGATGGCCAAAAGAGGCCCCAAGACGGCCCCCGAGACGCCTCCAAACTGCCTCCCAGAGGCCCCCGAGAGGCCTCCCACAACCCCAACGAACATCCAATAGGCTTCACACCCACAACATGAGGAGGAGGAGGAGGAGGAGGAGGAGGAGGAGGAGGAGGAGGAGGAGGGGCGGTTATGGGCCGAAGGCCATTCGGGGGTCGATGCATCCCCCACCCCCCCCCCTCCTCCTCCTCGTCCTCCTCCTCCTCGTCCTCCTCCTGAGCCCACCCCCCCCTAAAAGTTGCCCCCCTGAGAACCTCGAGCCCTCGACGCCAGGATCCGCCTGCCTCCGTGCTTGAGCGATCATCTTGCTTCTGCCAAGACGAGCGCCCGCCCCGAAAGAGCCTCGATCGTCGAGCCGACTTGGAACCTCGAGCCTCGAACCTCGAACCTCGAGGACCCCCCACTGCGACCAGCCACCAGCGGGCGAGCTGTGCTCCGAAAGCCCCCCCCCCTGGAAGGGACCCGCCGTGTCGACGACCTCACGCGCGGAGATCGCAGCCGATGGGCCCCCCGTGGTGGTCGAGCACCAGCGCTCCCCCACTCGTGGCCCCAGATGGGCCCTTCAAGGCTCCTATGGGGCCCCTTGCCTGCAACCCTCGACCCCCCTCTCTTATATTGCCCCCGCCATTACCCAAAGCCCGGCGATCTCAGGGCCCCCCCCCCAGGTGGCGACATCCGAACCCTACCCCCGCTGCCCCCATCGAGTTGCCTGAACTGCTGATCGGCACAGGCACGGTTCGGACTTCCCCGCCGAGTAAACCGAAACGGCCCATCCTGGGGCAGGGACGGGCCGAGCTGGCAAGCACGGCCACAGGGGCAGCCCCGACGGAGCACTGCAACCGCACCCCTGTGGCACTGAGGCCCTGGACGCTGGGGCTGCCCCTGGAACCAGCTGATCAGCCTGAGTCGCTTGGTGTGCTTTAACCAGGGGCCGGCCGTCCTGGCATTCCTGTAGGCCTACCACGAGATGCTCCTAGAACCCAACAAGGTTCTACTAACATAAACGGTGTTCTTAGAACAGAAGCCCGATGTGTGAAAACGAGACGGTCACAGCCAGAGCTGTTCTACAGACATTCCGTGGAAACCACAAAAGGTTCCCAGAGCATTGTTTGGTAGGCCCATGGGCACGCAAGGACGCCTCGCCACTGCCTGATGTGCTGGCCCCTGGGCCCCGGTGAGGCCCGAACAGCAACGAGAACCTACGCTCAGGTCGGGCCTGTCCCCCTACAGGGGGATCTTGGGCGAAAACTTGAAAATACTCAAGAAATATGCAATAAACGCTCGAAAATAGTACAGACAAAGAAAGAGGAAAAAAAAAGCACAAAACAAACAAAAAAACGCGTCCCTTGACTATTTTTGGATATCCCTCCTGTAGAAAGACACGCCCGACTTACACCTACGCGACCGGAGCGCCTGCGCACCGAGCTGCACCCTCTTCGCGCGCGCAGCGAAACGCGCTGGGCCCGGCGCCCCTGTTGGGCGACCCGCCCGGCAGCGCGCGCGCGCCGCCTCCGCTGCCCTCGACCAGGATAGTAAGGATGCGCGGTAAGGATGCAACGGCCTCGGAACGCCGTTTTGACGTTTTCCGTGCGGAGCGCAGCAGAATGCCGAAGGATGCCGCATACCGAAGGGGCAGGGATGAAAGGGTAGCCCTGGAAAGTTGCCCCCTCCTTACTATCATGGTTGACTGTACTGGGCGAGGTGGGGCTCTGACTATCGGCTACACACTAGTGGCCCTACGGGAATGGTAGGGTGATGATGATGATGATGATGATGATGATGATGATGATGATGATGATCATGATGATGATGATGATGATGATGATGATGATGATGATGATGATAATGAGACGACGTCGACGACGATGAATAACAACGACGACGACGAACGACGACGACGACGACGACGGACGACGACGACGTTGATGATGGTGATGACGGCGATGATGGTGTTGATGATGATGGTGATGATCGTGATGATGATCACGATGGCATTGGCAATGACGATGCCGACATCGCCATCATCGACATCATTATCATAATCATCAACATCAGCAGCAGTAGCCGAATCGCCATCGTCATCGTCATCATCGTCACCATGATGATCATCGTCATGATCAACATCAGCAACATCATCGAGATCGTTATCAACGTCATCATCGTTGTTAGCATCAACGTAATCGTCATCATCGCCAGCAGCATCATCAGAAGCAGCATCATCGTCATCGACTGAATCATCATCATAATCAGTCTCAGCATCATCGTCATCATCATACCCATTGTCATCGCCATCGTGAGTTCGTCACCATCATCCTCAACATCACCATCATCATCAACATCATCATCGTCATCACCATCCTCTCCCTTATCATCCTCCCTCCTCCTCCTACTCCTCCTCCTCCTCATCATCATCATCCTCACCCTCCTCCTTCTCGTCATCGTCATCCTCATCCTCATCTTCTTTATCCCCATCATCAATGGGACCCGCTCAAGGCGCGAGGACGTACCTGGCGCCCCTGGGGGCACCTCGGCCCACGGGCACCTTTAGCAACACTCTGCACGAACGAAATGGGCACGGAAGGAATGGGTACGATGCCCAACAGCAGTTCCTGTTCATTTTGAACAGGAGTCGCTGTCGGTGTCGCCGCGGCCTGTCTCCATTCGAGACAGAAGGCCGCCTGCCGAACAGCGGCCGCTGTTGGTTTGGGACAACATTTGCTGTTGGGCATTGTACCCATTTTTTCCGTGCCCATCTCGGGCGTCCAAAAACACCCGATGGTGGGGGGGGGGCTGTGTGAAGCCGGATCAGGACGTCGTGAGAGCCAGACCTGAGCATTCCCTCAGGGTGGAGGGCCCAGGGCGAAATCCACACGGGCTCTGGCACCTCGAGCATCGATCCGTCTTGTGAGTCACCTTTTGCAAATCCAGGCCTCGGAAATTCATCGAAACGGCATTTCGGATGTCAGCCTTTGCCCTCCACCCAAGAATGCTCGGCAGACTGGAAGGGATCAAACTGAGCCGGGTTGCGCTGGATTGGGCCAGATTCGCCCCAGGGAGCTGCCAGCGCCGATGCTGACATCGACACGCCCAGGGGCTGGGACAGTAAAATCTAGAGACAGACCTGGAACAACAACATCCACTTTGGTCTGGTTCTGGCCATCGCTCGGACATCCATTCACTGTGTTTTTGTTCGGTTTCGTGCGTGGTTTTTCGCCAAATGATCAAGGATGATCCTCGATGGCCCTCGCCGAGAAAAAATGCACACGTCCGAGCAGAACTCGGGTGCGCAGAAGAGGGCGGCCAGGGAGAGGGGGGGAGTGCGCATCGTGGCACGCGGCATGGGCGAGGACGAGTGGGTGTCAGCGGATGCGACGGAGGAGATCGAGGGGGCCACGAGAGCGGGAAGACACTGCGGCCCCAGTGGTGATGCCCACGCACCCCTACTTGGGGGGCAGCGACGAGGGGGGGGCTGGCTCGGGGGAACAAGCATCGAGCCGGAATCAGCGATACCTCGCCGATAGAGTGGAGGCCAGTCCACAAGAAACCTTCCACGAGAAACATAACCCTGAGATCCCAGGACGTCCGTTGATTTTTGGCGCGGGAAAGTCACGATTTCAATAACAAAGCCATCGAGACCCAAGAACCCAGGGCACCCTGGAGGCAAGCAGGGTGTTTCTTGGCATGGGCCCCACCTGTAGATGGGCCCCCGTCAGCGAATCCGCGCGTTCCTGGGCAGGGTGCGCCATCAGGCCCCAATCGGATCTATCGGCGATAATTACCCGATTTGGGGCCGGTATCCCCCCTGAACCTATACCCCCAAACGTTGCGCCTGGCAAGTTCTCACTCACCCCTTGGACGCCTCCGGGGTCTGGTTTGGGGGCCCTGCTCTGTCCTGGTACAACTCATGTCTCTCCGAATGGTGGTCAGACTTCTGGTGGTCAGAAGCAGCAGAGGGCAAACTTCGGAAGCAATAGTTTCTGAGAAAAGCACGTGCACGGGGCACATAATCCGAAAGGAATTGGACGGGGAAAGCCCAGAAGCACACATTCTTCGGAACACGTACGGCCCCGAACAAGGGACATCCAAGGAGTTGAGCTCACCTCTCCCTGAGCCCCGAGAGGCTGCCCCCCACTTACCAGGCGAAGGAGCACCCACTCAGGGCGCCGCCGAGGGCGCCGCCGGAGAGGTCGGCGCCCGGCGGGAGGGGCGCCTCCTGGCGGCACGGCCGCCC